CAGGACTTCTGGGGCTCACCGTGCGTCACCTACAGACAGGGGCGCACCCAAAAGATACAGGAGAAAATGAGGCTCTGGAAACCCCCAGGGGCCCACCCAGGTCCCTGCCAGGCTGCAGCGTGGGGCCCATCCCCGGGACCAAGGCAGGGAGAACAGGCAGAGGGCACAGGGGGATGGCCTTGGGAGGCCGGCCCGGCAGCTCTGCAGACCAAGGTTTTGTCCCCAGCTCTGCCAGGATCCCGGGGCAGACGACCTGGATATTAATGGCAGAAAGATAAGAACCTGAAGGAAAACCTCTAGAACTTCCCTCGGGTACAAATACAGAAACTGAGGCCCAGACAAAGGTGGATAGTGACAGTAGAGTGACGCTGTCTTTTCAGTCACCTAAGCCCAGCACTTCTTCTCCTTTCCCTGCAACAGCACAAGGCCACACCCTCAGCTTCTCCCCAGTCATTGTCCCTGTGGCCTTTCTGTCACAAGACTCTGGGGCAAGGTCCCCATCTTGGGGAGGAGTCCTACCCGGCCGGGCCTCTTGGTCCAGTGGGAAACCATCGGATCAAACCCTCTCCAACCGCCGAGGCCCAGGGAGTGCCTCCCCCGTGCTCCGGGGGTCAGGGGCCCACAAGACCCCGCCTGGGCCCCCAGGCACCCTCTCTGCCCATCCTCACGCCCTTCCAGGTTCTAGCTCTGGCACATGCTGTTCCTGGGGCAGGACGCTCTCAGGCCCTTGCCCGCTCTGTGCTACCAGGCAGCTCAGATGTGACCTCCTCAGGGAAGCATCTCGCCTCCTGGCCCAGGGCCAGTGTCCCTATGGGCCCCACCCCAAGCACCAGGTTCTTCCCTGGTTGCTGCCTGTCTTCACCATGGAACCGCCATCTCCGTGAGGCAGGGCTAGGCCTTGGGTTCCCTCTCATTAACTGGACAAGGAATGCCAACACTCACAAATGTTTGGCAGATGGATGGAGGGACAGATATCACAGACGGGAGCAGGCCCTCTGCCCTGGCATCCTAGCCTGTGTTTCCCTAGCCCTGGTCTCTTCATCTGATTCAGTCTGAATTCACAGGTGGAGCGGGGCCTGCGAGTTTTCTTCAGCTTTCCTCGACGTAGGCAGGGTCAGCCTGAGAGGCTGGCGGAGACCGGCTGCTGGTGGCCCTCCCTACAGAGAGCAGGAAAGTCACAAGTGTGGGTTTCGGGCCTGCTCCAGGGCCTACGCTGACTTCTAGGCCTGAAGGGAAGAGTGGGTGGTCACCGCCCACCTCCATGTGGCCATGGGAGATCCTAGAAACCCAGGACCCCAACTGCCTTGCAACTGAGAGCAGCCTGCTCTTGCACGATGAGGCTCACAGGAGAGAGGCAGAAGGGTTGTGCCCCCTCAGCACTTGCCAGCTGCAAGGAGGCTTGGTAATGGCCGTGGGGGTGAGGGTGGGGTGGGCTGCTTTACAGCCAAAGTTAATATCTGAGAGGCCAACTGCTTACCACTGTGTGGGGTTGGTCAAGGACCACGGATGGCACGGGGTAGGGATGGGGGGCTCTATCCATGGGGCAATCATAGCAGCCCCCAACATTGGGTCTGCCACCTCTAGATGACCACTTTCCAAGGGGTCACTGGAAAGCTCCATGCTCCAACAGCTGGCCCCCGAGACCGCTTCCACCAAGGGCGCGGACGTCAAGCCACATCACGGCTGAAGTAACGTGTACCAGCCTCGATGGCACAACTGGCACGAGGGGCTTCAAGAGGAGCACGCAGGTTAAACCTGGCCCCACACTATGACCTGTTCTTTGTGGGGGGATATAAGGGCACAGATGTGTAAGGGTGTTCAACGAGGGGCAGGAGAATCGGGGCCAAGTTCCAAGGCTCAGGGAGGAAGAGGGGAAGGAAACGCACTGCATCCTAAAAACTCCACGTTCTGGGTCCCCCACTGAGACGGGAGTAGGTGCCACTGCCCGGCCTGCTGCTCTCACAGGAGGCTGTCCTCCTTCCCTCCCGAGGGACACAGAGTTGCCTGGTCATTTGGTCCAGACAGCAGGCCGTGGCTGCTGACTCTTCTTCTGCTGACAGTGGCTCTTCAGACCCTGGCCAGCGTCTCTGCACCGGACTCTAGCAGGACCACCTGGGCAGGCTGTTCTGAGCCCCGCGCCCCCGGAATTTAGACTGAGGAGCCTAGCGCTGCTTTCCCACCCTGCACACACTTTTTCTTTGTGGCAATTTCCTGCTGTCTTGTGCTGTCTGACTCCCCACACTAAGTGGAGGGTCTCCTGGGCAGGCAGGTAGGTGAGTCTCTGCAGTATTAACCTGAACAGGTGACATGCTGAGCCTCGTTGGGTGTCGGCCCCAAGGATGTGCCCTGATTTCTCCCTGAGAACCAGGAAGGGAGGTTTACTAGCCACACACAGGTGGGACAAGGGCTCAGCCAGCCAAGCAACACACCACGGCTGCCCAGGGCCTGGCGTTCGGTTGGTGCTCAATGCAAAGGTACGTTGGGAGCTGGTCTGCCCAGCAGTGGAGAAACAGCATCTACCCTCGTCCCCAACCAGTTCCACACTGGGGTTCTGCTACGTGGCAGTGGTGCAGCCGGACCAGCAGAGAAGGGACCTCGGGCTCTGGGAGCTGGTCTCAGCATCTGTCCCATGGCTGTTATCTGGGGAGTCTCACCAGGAGACGGAACTTGCCCTGAAGTCACCTGCTCTTCACTGACAGAGATCAGAGGCGCAGAGAGGCCAATGACTTGCCAAAACCCCACAGAACCCAAACTGGCGTCGTTCCTTACTGAGACGGCTCTGCCTCCCTGCCCCACTCGGCAGAATCCTCCTCCAGCCAGGATCCTGCCAGTGCTGCGGCTGCACAGAGTGGGCCAAGGCACGGCATCGCCTGGCTCTGGTGCCTGTCGCTGTGGTCCGAGGGACACAGTGCTTCCCGGCTGCCAGTCCCCAGCGTCAGTACCCACTTCCCAACCACATCCCACTCCTGCCCCATGAGTGAGGCTTCCAGGTCTGGGAGGTGCTGCCTCCTAGTCAGGGCTTAATGCATCGTCCACTCCTCTCCATTCCCTCTGCTACCGTCCCCAACCTTGGGCCCCCTCAGGTCTCCACTGGGCAGCACCTGCCTTTCACAAGGGTTCTCAGATGGAAAAATGTCCCGTTCAATCGGAATTCCAGATAAACCACAAAAACTTCTCAGGATAAGCATGCCCTCGCTATCGGATGGGATAGATCTGTGCTATCAAGCATCCTGTGATTTATTTGAAATTCAAATTTAACTGGATGTCCTATATTTTTATTTCCTAAATCTGGCGATCCTACCCCCGCCAGCCCCTTTGCTCCTTGTCCTATCCCCTCCCTGAATCCATCCTTCCCCCTGGAGCTGGGCTGATTTCTGAAGCACCGATGTGAGACGGTGTCATCTCTGACTTCAAACCCTCCACAGTCCCCTTGGGCCTCAGGATCAAGTCTAATCTGCAAGACACCATGTTAGGGGCTCACAACCGTAAGGGAATCTCCCCGGCTCTCTCCCTGGCCTCCTGGGGCTCTCGCCTCTGCTTCCCCTCATTTGCATCCTGACTCTCAGCCGCAGCACCAGGGCCAAGCCGTTTGTGCCCACTGAGCTCTCTTGCCTGTAATCACTTATTTAATCATCTCTCCATGGTCAGGCTAGCAATGCCACAGGGACATTAAGCCCCTTGCACTTAACACAGGCCTAACATATAGTAGGTATCCAATAAATGCCACTGAGTAAATAATCCAGGCTGTCCTGACTGTTGCAGGCTTAGGCCTCACCTGGGCCCAGGCTCGATCCTCATCTGCACACAGAGACCCATAAGGCCAGACCTGAGCCTGTCTCCCTGGCGATCGCTCTAGACGGGCAACCTCAAAGATGATGGCTTCTGGCATCTTTTATGGAGACAGGCCAGCACCACAGTAACTTGATGAGACACACTCCTGTCACACCTAATAAATCTGCCAGCCTGTCATCCTTTTCCTTTGCAAAAAAAAAAAAAAAAGGGAAGCATCTGAAGTGAACTTAGAAGAACCCTAAATCACAAAAGCGCAGAATCTCAATTCCACACACATTAAAGTAAGAAGGGGAAAGGAATGCCCCCACCCGCCCTCTGGCAATTTAAATGTCATCTGACTTTAATGATTAAGTCTCTTATCATCTAGCAGCAGCTAGAGGCTTCAGGCTGATTTCAGGGAGGAGCCTGGTGCTTTGGGGACCCCAGGTCTCCTGCCTCACCAATGACCCCGTTAATCGGTAAGACTTGGCTGCACTGGCCCTATCCTTCCAAATGTTTACCACCCTGGAGGATTCTTCTGGCAAAATGCTCATGGACGCATAGATAGCTCCAAGCCTTTTCTCCAGCTCCTTCTTGAGAAACTCCTGTGACGTGACAGATTTTATTCTCTCCACTTAAAGAAAAACACATGGCCTCTGTACTTCCATTTGTCCTCTCCCCTGCCACGTTCCTCTGGATTCAGCTCTTCTGCTTGAAAACCAGATCCATTCATTCCAAAACCCCCTTTCCCTTGGCTTCTCTGTCCCTATCATTTGTAAATTAATTTTTCCAGAGCCTCAAGCCAAGATTTTTACCCATTCTACTTATCTGGAGGATTCCTTTTCTAATTGATTTTCATGAAAATTGATTTGTATTGAGTAAGAGGATCTGAAACACACACACACACACAATTGCTTGTATGAGCACTGCCTGTTTCATAGGACACCTTAAAAGCTGAGCTGCTTATACAAAATAATGTCTTGGGGTGGGGTGGGGTGTGCTGGGTGGCAGTGGTCTTCTGGTTAGATCCTGCTAATTTGAACAGCAGACTAGCCTAAAAGGCTGTCCACCTGCTTCCCTTGCTTAAAAAAAAAAAAAAAAAAAAAAAAAAGAAGAAGAAAAAAAGCCCATGGAAGGGAGGAAGAGAGAAATCGGTCAAGCAATGAATATAAAAGCCAAGGGAACTTCACATCCCAGGCTCAGTTAAAAGTTGAACAAGGGAAACTAGTCCCTAGTCGCTGAAGTGTTTAGAAGTGACAGAATCCTGAATCCCGGGGACACGCAGCTGAGTCAAACGGCTGTTTCACACATTCAACAAAACTGTCAGTTCCAAAAGGAAAACAATTGTGAAACTGAAAACAGAGCAGAAGACGGGGCCTGGTGCTGGGGTGGTGACCTGCTCAGAGCCCTGGCTCTCTATGGGGGTCACCCAGGCCACCATGCAAGTGGGACTGACCGAGCTGGTTCCCAGGCAGGGTCTCATCATTTGGGGCAGCTCATGGACCACAGCAGACTGGCAAGCCATCTCATCCATCCCTTCCTCATTCAGACACCCCAACTCAGGGCAACCCTCTGAATAGTCACTGACCCCAAAGTGCCACCAGGAGAACATGAAGCCACAACTACCTCAGAGTGGGTCTTTCAATACCCCCAAAAGTAAAACTTCTAACAATTCAAAAATGCCATACTACCTGGTGATTGCCAGAAAAACCCCCGGGGCCAGAGAGAAGAGGGGCATTCGTCATACTTATCTCAGTGGCAGTGACGCCTACCCCTTAGTGTTTATTATGGTCCAGGCAAAGTGATCTACTTGCTTTATCTCATCAAGTACTTAGAATAAGTAGCACAGTCAGGAAGAGACCAAGGAGCAGAGGGGGTCACATTGGTTGCCCAAAGTCCCTTGGCTGGTGAGGGGCAGAGCTGACACCAAAGTCCTCTTCACCTCTCTCCACTGTACCACTGCTATGTCCTCTCTGAATCGTACCAGGGACCATCCCATCTGACCTTCCCATCAGCCCTAAGAGGTAAAACTTCAGTTGGTGGCTGCCTGGCCTCTGTGCCAGGGTCTGGGAGGTTCAAGGGAGGGTTCATCCTCAAGTAGTCTGACAGATGGGACAGGTCCTTATATCGGTCACAAGTAGCCACAGGCATAATCTGTCAACATCCCCAGTTCCACTACCTACAAAGGATCACACAGGGCCCCTGCCTGTTTTTAAGACCAAAATGAAGTGACACAGTGGGTTCTGGAGGGAAATAAAGAATGCACATTCTTAGGATCATTTTTCTTTTCAAGTTTGTTTCTTTCCCGGAATTTCTGCAATAGAAGGTTACCATCAAAAGCTAGTCCCCAAGCCCTGTTTCCTGCCATGACCTTGTCCTGCAGGCCATAGGCCACAGGCCATAGTTGAAGCCTCTTTCTGGAGTTTCTTATCTTTCTAGGCCCCAGGACCAATCAGTGGCACTGCTGTAGGAGCCAGGCCTTAGGGAGTGAAATGACACCTCCCTCCTCCCAGCCAGAGCCGCCCCCTTTCTCTGCTCACCTGCACGAAGCCCCAGAGCGGGTGGAGCGCGCAGTGCAGCAGCAGCGAGGGCCAGCAGCAGCCACGGCGCAGCACCAGGTCCCGGAGGAGCATCTCGACCCGCGGCGCCCACTGGTGGGGCGAACTGTCAGGGGAGCAAGGCTTAGGTCAGGTGGACACCTCGCGGGCACCATCGCCTCCGCGCACCAGCACACGTAGCAGTCCCGGTCCAGAGGGCACGCCCCACACTCTGGGGCACCTTTGTAAGTGCACCTTCGATTGAGCTTGCACACACGCTGACTCTCGTGCATCTCGTACTCACAGCCTACCCTGGCTCAAACCCCCAAAATACTGCGTTCACACCTTGGCCCCATGCACACCTCCAGAAAGTCAACTTACTGAACCCCATGCATCCCCAGAAACAGTCATGCACAACTCACTCTCACTGGGAGCACACTTGAAGCTCGGCGGGAACCACTCACCCTGCGCACACACCCACAGAAAGAGCCGTGCGCACCCACTGACCCCCATGCACACTACAGACTACTGCCTGCACACTCTTTGAACCCTCCATGCATAGCGTCACGAAATCACTGGCTGCGTTGCACCCTCTGCCCCGCGGCCTCACTGCGCACACTGCAACATATGCACCTCCGTGTGCACCCGGGTTTACCCCCCCAACCCGAGCCCGGATCTCCCGCTCCGGGGCGTGGGTTTCCCTTCACGCCTCCATCTCCGCCCGCACCCCTCCGATGCCCCACGCCACCTTGCCTGGTGGCGGCCCCAACCGATCTTCGGGGCAGAGAAGAGAGGTCAGCGCTCCCCCCGCAGCAGCTCTGTTTCCCAGCCGCCGGACGGCCCCCATTTAAAGCCAGCCGCCTCCCCAGTCCCCCCGCCCTCTAGGCGGGGCCTCGGTCCTCACCCGGGCGGCTGCGCGGGCGCCTGGGGGCTTCACATGCCTAGCAGGAGCGCCCGGCACTGGAGCAAAAGTTTGCGCGCCGCTTGGGCCTCCAGGGCTGCTGAGCTGGGGCCCCGGGCGCGGCGCGCTCGCACGGGGCGCAGGGCGCGGTGGCTCCAGGCTGCGCCTGGCCGCGCGCGGGGCGG